ATCGAGACCTTTCATTTGAGTATCCACATCAATTTTTCATATATTTTATATATTTATATATATTAGGGTGGGCCAAAATGTAACTTCCTTGAGCGAGCTTTTAAAATTGGAATTTCGATTTCCGCTTTTAACAGGAGTTGTGTTGGGGCATTTCCTGAGATATTTTGAGGGTAAGGGATTTATATGATTTTTATAGAATTTTTAACAGGAGATTCAATTGGGCACTTCCGGTCAAATTTTGAATTTTCAGCGGAAGTGCCTAAACTAATAATTAGTAGTCCATTATTTATATTTGTTAAAAATGCTAGCCGTAAGATGGACGGTGTGGCTTAATGTATATAGAATAAGTGAAAGGAAATTTAGTATAGACCGGATAGCTCAAATGGTAGAGTAGCCGACATGTCTTCGGAAGGTTCTGGGTTCGAATCCCAGTCCGAGCTATCTAATAATTTTTTCTCACATATTCTATACACTCACATTAAGAAGTTCCTCTCCATAATCCTTTCTCAATCCTTTCCTACCAATTATCCTGTTACGTGAATGTTGGAACGCTTCACGTAATAATTATCCGTAACTCCTATTCTTTCCCGCTTCACAGCATTATTTATATTTGTTAAAAAATGTGGAACGTTATGTGGATAGTCGGATACTCTAAACCTTGGGAGTTTACACCCCCACCCTATATAATTATTATATATGTATATATGTAAAATATATTAAAAATGCATATGGGTATTCAAATGAAAGCTCTTGATGAGTGTAACATCGGGATGAGCTTATATCTTCAAAAATGTCAATAGTTTACCAGATACAAGGTCATTTCTTCATTATGTATCTAGACACAGAGCATTTTCAAATGCAGCCTAAATTCTTATTATAATAAATTGACTATTGATGAGAATGATATGAAACCTTGAAAAGGCACAACTTCAAGCAAAAACTTATTTTATCCCATAAATACACTGGCCACAAAATTTTGCTTATTCTCTTAATAATATAGATTATTATTATTATAATTATTTCATTATTATTATTGTTTTAACTATTATTGCCTACAACATGAAAATCATGTGGCTGCCTCAATTTTTTTTTTCCGTGTATATATTATAGGAGCCATTTGGAACTCACACCGCACGCAGATTTTATCTTTATTTCATTTTGAGAATGACTCCCATAATGGTATAGGAATGATTCCTATAATGTTCTAGGAATCCTTCCTATACCATTATGGGAATAGTTCCCATAATGATATAGGAACCATTACTATATCATCATGGGAATGGTTCCTATAATTGTATAGGAATCATTCCTATAATTATAGAAACCATTCCTATACCATTATGGAAACCATTCCTATCATTATGGGAAATTTTCTCATAATTTTGGGAAAATTTCCTATAATTATTGGGACAGTTCCCATAATTCATGGGAACCGTTCCCAAAAAATTATGGGAATAGTTCCCATATTTTTCTTTCCGTGTACGGGCAGGCAAGACGGAGAGGGTGGGTAAAATGAATAATCGTTTCAAATCGCTGGTCGGTCGATAAAACAATTTTAGACTGCAATAAAAAACGGTAAGTGTAGTTTCATAATAGATTCATGGATTGTGGTCTACAAGTTATCTATCGACCGACCAGCGATTCGAAACGATTATTCATTTTAGCCGCCCTTTCCGTCTTGCCCGCCCGTACCCTAGGTTAGAACTATGAATTTATTTTAAAGTGCAGATCGTCCTCCTCTTTATTCTTTACTTTTTTGAAAGAAAAGAACACAATTTTTCGGACGCTAAACACTTAAAATTTTCGAATAAAATTTTATATTTCAACTTCTGAAGTTTCACGAGGAAGCTAGCAAAATTTCATAATAAAATTCACATAAAATAAGCTAAATTTGAAAAAAACTTTTTTTTAATTAAAAAAAAAAAAGCGATTGTCGGGACATCTTGAAAATAGCGCGGATTTTAGCAAAATTAGTTGAAGTTTTTTTTGGAAAAAAAAAAAAAAATAAGAAAACGGTTGACCCTAAAAGCCATTCCTATCAAAAAAATCCACATGAGTTTATATGGGAATCCACATAAGAAAGTATGGATTCGTATAGGAACCCATAGGAATCCACATGGGAAGTATGAATTTCTATAGGAATCCACATAGGAACGTGTGAGTTCATGGATTCCTGTATGGGAAATCTACATCGGTAGTATGGATTCCTATAGCGAATTCCCTAGCGAGCAAATTATTTTCCACCGATTGAGCTATTGCCAACAAAAAATTATGTCCTTGGACTTGTTAAGCTCCTGACATTCAATTCAATACCAAATATCGATGTTGATGCTAATAAATTTTATGTGTCATCAAAAAGATCCAAGAGAAGTACAATCAAGAGATTTCAAGAAATAACTATACCGACAGGGAGTTATGAAATTAAAGATATTGAAACTTATATAAACAAGACATTGCCTGAACTGAGTTTCACTTTAAAAGCAAACAACAATGAGTTGAAAAGTGAAATAAAATGTGATCAGTATATAAATTTTGAACCTGAAGATTCCATTGGACCATTACTTGGATTTACTAAACGTATACTTGAACCTAACACAGCACATAAATCTGATTTACCAGTGAAAATATTAAAAATCAACTCTCTGAGAGTCGAGTGCAATATAACTACTGGATCATACATCAATGGCGTGAAGAATCATACAATCCATGAATTTTTCCCGAGGGTTCCAGCAGGATATAAAATAGTGGAAGTACCAACAAACATCATTTACCTACCAGTCGCCGTACGAGCAATACATAACGTGAGACTCCGCATTGTTGATCAGGACGGGAGAATAGCAAATTTCCGTGGTGAGACTATAACGATAAGACTACATATAAAGAGTCTGTAATGGGTATCGTATATGAGACAAAGACTGGTAATGGGTATAAAAGGATTGCAGCATGCCCAAAGATCATCAGTCATCATCAAGCTCTGAAAGTGTTAACACATCAGAACGTGGAGTTCCTAAAAAGTCCAGGACTAAAATTACGTGGAAAATTCATAAGATAAAAATAAATTTTTGTTGTCTAGCTTGTGTAATACCATGGCGGAAATCTTAGATATAAAAAAATCAATTATTTTTGATGAGTCTATTGCACACTGTGAAGCTCATTCACACCTGCCATACGCATCATCAACGTTCAACAACAGTGATGAAATTAGGATTGCTGTTCAACATCAAGATCTGTGCTTACTCCCAAGCAAGAGCACATTACATTTTTATGGAAGAATGAGGAAAGCTGATGGTACTGCTGTAAGTGCTACTACAAAAATGATCAACATGGCTGTCTGCCATATGTTTGAAGAGATACGTTATGAGCTCAATGGTGTAGAAATTGACAGATGTAAGAATGTTGGTATTACCAGTGTTATGAAAGGATACGCTTCTCTGAGTCCAGGACAGCAAAATATTCTGGAAAATGCTGGTTGGATTGTAAATGAAGATAATAACAAGTTGACCAATCCTAATGGCTACTTTGAT